CTTCAAAAACTTACAATTAATAAACCTGCGAAGTACTGCGATGTACTTCGTAGGTTTACGAAATCTCATAATACTTCAAAGGTTTACGCTACGTAGGATTACGATCAGTAATACATATGAAGTACTTCGATGAAAACGTAGTTATTACGTAGGATTATGGCGAAGTATTTCGAAATATTTACAAATCGTAAATTTTTCGAAGTACTTCGCTATAAAAATTTTCCTGATGTATTTTACGATAATTATTATATTATTTTATGATATACAATCGGACCTCTATATACTGATATTCTATATACCGATATACTATTAAAAACTTTACATACCGATAAAATTTTATTTACCCATTTTACTTGAGGTCATATAAATATCGGTATAATTTGATATAACGATATTTTTAAAAAAAAATTCTATATGTTCTGACATATTGTTATATAGAGGTTCGACTGTAATCAATAATTATCAACACATAAGAATTGTAATACCACAGCATTTCAGACAACCTCAATAATCCTTATTTTCTAGTAATTAAAAAACATTGTTAATATCAAATTTTACCTGAATCTAACTAAATCTTATTTTTCATTTTTAAAGAAATTTCCATCTTTTTTACTGCAAATGCTCATATATTTATGTAAAAAAATAGGTTATATATATATATATTTTTAAAAAAGTTATTATATAAATATAATGACATTAAAATTAATATAATAATATAAATTTATTAAAAAAACTTGTATTTAATATTATATTTATTTTTTAAATATATAAATAAAAATTTACAAATATTTAATATACATATTTTTACATCATTTTATTCTAATTCTATATTATCTATAAATAAATAATTTAAATCCAAGTTTAAGGGTAATGATTATTATGTATTTGATTTAAATGAAGTTGATAAAGCAAATGGATGTGATAATAATGCTTTAGCTGTAGGTCTATTATTATGATTCCTATTAAAATAAGATAAACTATTAGCATAAAATTAATTTAAAAAAAAAATTTCATTATCATACTTACAATTCAAAAGTCTTTTTCAAAAACTCTCTTGTCTCATTTGATACACCTTCTGGTATTTCAGGTGAACATGATTGGGATCCAATCTTTAAAATAAACAAGACATAAATATAATTATATTATTTAGGCATAACCTTTAATAAAGTACAAAAATATACCTTAAACATGGCCTGCATTTGATTAAATTCAGGGAATGGGTGATCTCCTGTGAACATTTCTACGATTAAACATCCTAAACTCCATATATCTGCTTTGCTTGTATAAGGAGTTTGTTTAACAACTTCTGGAGCCATCCAAAATACTGAACCTTGTAATGAAGGTCTACTTACGGATGTATTTGCCATAATTTCTTTTTAAATAACATATAAATAAATTAATAAAAGAAATAAATAGCATTTACTAAAAAAAAAAAAAAAATGAAATACTTACGATCTTCAACTTTTTTTGAAATACCAAAATCTGATATTTTGATACCTCCCTTATTGTCAACTATAATAACAAACGTGTATAAAAATTATATCAATTTAAATAGATATATAGATAGATATATTTATTTATAAATTTACCTAAAATGTTAGCACCTTTGATATCACGATGAATAATATCCTTCTCATGAAGGTAGTTCAATCCTTGTAAAATTTGCCTGTTAAATGACCTAACCAATGTTTCTTCTAATGGACCATAATTATTAAGCATAGTTGCAACTGATCCACCTGGAACATATTCCAAGAAAATATTTAAAGTTTTTTCATTGTGTTGTGACCCTAATAATAACAATAATAATATCAGATGAGAATTCTTTTGTTTTAAAAAAAAAACCATTATTGAAGATTACCAAGGTATTGCACGATATTTTCATGATGTAAATCCTTTAAAAGAGTAATTTCTCTTTGTAAAGCATCTAACTAATAAATTGAAATAAAACATCAGATTAATGAAAGTTGTTCTTAGGGAAAAGCCGTAGTATACAATAATAATATACCATAGATTTCTTTCTCTCCTCATTTGCAGATTGTCCTGTAGGTAATTCAACTTGCTTGACAGCCATTAATTCTCCGGTAATCGCATTAAGTCCTAAGTACACACTACTAAAAGATCCCATTCCGATCAAAGCGCCCTGCATCCATTTGAAAACTTGAAAATCTCCACCTATATTAAATAAATTGAAAGAATTTAATGGCATCACCCTCTAACATTAAATATATACAAAGAATTTTAGGCAGAATTTTATATTTGACCTACTCCCATCATGTTCAAGTATCAATTCTTCAAATTCATAATCATCATCATCATCATCATCATCATCATCATCATCATCATCGTAATCATCATCACCGAATTCATCAAAATTATTAAAATCATCATTATTTTGTTCTTCTACAATTGCTGTTTCTGAATAATCCATAGGTGATAGAAAAGTATCAGCTTTGTCATCATCATATAAATAAGACATCCTTTTCGATTTACGTCTAGAAAATTTAGAAACGGAGGAAAGTCTTGATGCCCTTCTAACAGAATTTCTACAACTTCGTTCTAATTCTTCACTATTATGTCCAGGAAAGTATTCCGTAAGATTTAATGAAATAAGTTCTGAAGGTGGACGTTGACCAAAAAAATTTCTTAATTTTTTTTGTGACATTCCAACTTGTGATGATGTTGGAGGTTTTTCTCCAAAGAAATTTTCTAATTTTTTATCTCTCATCTGACGTTTTAATTGGTCAAAATTCATGTGCACATGTTTCTTGCGTAAAATAAGTCTATCTCTTTCCGGTCTATCTGAACTTCTACAAATTTTCACTAATTCTTCATCAGATAAGCTTCGAGCTATGTTATTTTAAAAATAAATAAATGTTAGAAATATCGAATTAAGTGCAAAAAAAGATAAAAATAACTTACCTGAACCCGAATCACTCAAAGTAGTAAACAACGAATATTTTTCAACATCATCATTAATATTAAACTTTTGTAAAACTCGTGCTAAAATAGATTTAGCATCGGTTACATTATTAATATAAATAGTTCGCGTTGCACCATCTTCACCGATAACTTTGATGACACGCTAATATAAGGCAAAAATTAATTAACTAAATTAAAATTTTAAAAAAACAAAAAATAATAATAAACAGACCTGTTTAACGCTTTCTAATGAGTTTGATGCTTCATGTTGCTAAATTAATACTTTTACTTAGTAAATATTAACGTAAAATATATATATATATATATATATTATATTTACTTTGGAATGTTGAGGGCTCCGTAAAGGATATTCATAATTATTTCGCGATGAAGTAGAATTAGATCGAGATATGGTGCTTGCTTTTGAACTAGATCTGCTGAGAGAAACTGGGAATCTGTCAAAATTCGCGTCCTAAGAATCTTTTTTATTAAAATAAATTTTCAACAAACAAAAAGTTCACATAATAATTTGATATTTGTAAATAAATATAAATACCTTTGGTACATAATATTTGATAGAATGAACATAAGGAGCAGTATTTCCTACGCAGCACTTTAGCAAAGTTTTGACTGCTAAAAGGATCCTAACGCGTTCACCAATTGATCTGATCCTCAATTCTTTGAGGATCTCATGGTCTAATTCTAATAGGACATCTCCGTTTATATCGTTATCTAATTTTAAAAAATTGCAAAATAAATAAATAAAAAAAAAAGGTAAAGGAAAAATCAAGAATAATTTAAATAATGGATCTATTAATTTTTACCTGAAAATACCTTTTGATATTCCCGAAAATTATTTTCTTGCAGCCAACAAGCTACTTGATCATATTTCCAATTTCTTACGTTATCAAAAGTGAATCTACAATTAACTGTAGGAGATTGAGGCGTAGAATCCATAAATATTTTAGGAATTTTGAAAAGAAACGAAAAGGCGAAAACTTATATCTCGAGGCATAATTTTTAATGCGGTGTAACTACAACATCCATCCGTAAATCATTATTTTCTGGATCAACCCACAGATTTATTGTAATTCGGAAATCATCACTTTTGTGTTTTCACGCCACGTGATTTTTGGCCGGCATCGCTATTATTACATTTAAAAGGGTATCCCTTAGATTGTAGGGTTTTGCAGGGAAATTTGCCTGCTTATTTACTATAAATTCTCTTCTGATTTACTTTTATAAATAATTAATATTTTTTATATAATTTGTCAGCGCCAATAGGACATTTGACATAAGAATCAAGCGTAAAATTAATCTAAAAATCAACCTAATTTAACCACCTAAAATCACTACAATTCGACCTAAAATCAACCACGATTTGAACACAATTCAGACACCATTCAGACAAAATTCTGATACAATTAGGTCTAAATTCGAACACAATTTACATTTTAATTTTTTTTTTTTATATTTTATAATGATTTTATTCAATTATATTAAGCAAATAAGCAAAAAAAAAATATTGTCTAACCTTATCCTCCAAAAAAAAAAAAATTATCCCATCCGCTCTCAAAAAAGAAAATATGCTATTCGTTGTTATCATTGTTATTATTGTAGTCATCCAATTACCTTTCAATTTTTAAATAAACTAAACTAAAAAAGCAAATACTGTATAGTGCTGACATTGGTACCAGGTACTATTTAAGCAATCATAATTTATGATAATCATCAATCATCTTTTTTTAATTTCAAATTTTTGGAATTTTTAACATTCCTTGAAATAAAAATATACTATATATTCATATTATGTTTAGATAATATGAATGATATGAATTTTACATATAACGCGATCAGAGTTATATTTATTTTAACTCTGATTTTTTTTGATTTCATTTTTTTTTATTTTTTATTTTTTTTTATCTTTACAACCTCAACATAAATTTGCCATTTCTTTATTACTTTATCAAAATAAAATGGCTTTACGTGCAAATAACAATACTAATCATGTAAATGTGTCAGAAAAATTGCAAAGAGTATGAAATGTAAGAGAAAATCTTGCAGTTATTATGTATCATGAAAAGGGTCATAACAAAAATGAGACAGCAGCTAATTCAACATTGAAACTAAACAAATTCATGATTGGTTATCTAAAAAGAACAATTTATGAAGATACAACCTAGTTTAAAATATTTAAACAAAAGTAAACCTCCAAAATATCTTGTTTTGGAAGTAGCTTTAGTTGAGTAGATAAAAGAAAAAAGAAGTAACCAACAGGCAATTTCATAAAATATGATTTAAGTTAAAGCAAAAACACTAATATAACAATCACAATGGTAAGCTTTTTGTCTTGATGTACAACTTTTTGCTTTTTAGTAACAAATAGTTAGATGATTTGATGAGTCGTAACAATTTGGGTAATCATCGTAGAATTACTATTGCACAGCATTTACTTAATAATTTACTTGAAAAATAACAAGAATTGCTAGCATTTGTTATATATAGATGAATACAATATGATTATCCTTTAGCATTTATTAGTAATATGGATGAAACTTCAATAATATTTAATTTACCAAGTAATACTACTATTGATGAATTAGGAGCAAAAGCTATTAGTATTTGTATAATAGGTCATAAAAAACTAATTTTAAAGTAGTTTTAACCTATATAGTAGATGAAACTAAACTTTTTCCTCTTATAATCTTTAAATTTAAAAAATTCCAAAAGGAAATTTTCTATTAGAAGTTATTGTTCATGCTAATCTAACTGGATAGATAAATGAAAATAAAATGTTATTTTAGATTGAAAATATTTGGTTAATCACGTAAGACTTTCTAATCTATAATCATTATTAGTTTTAGATTCATTTTCAACACATATTGTTGATTCTAAAGATAGTTTCCATAATTATTTTTAAAATTTTTTAGTTGCAACTATTTATAAATTTTTATATTAAAATAAATTTACAAGAAGTTGCAATCAAGTTGCAACTTAAGTTGCAACTTCTTAATTATGATACCTATCTTTAGTTGATTCTGTTAAAAGATATTTTGTGAAAAGAATACTAATATTGCTATTATTCCAAAAGGATTAACATTTCATTTACAACCTTTAGATATTTCAATCAATAAGTCATTTAAAGCAAAGGTAAGGTTTATTGATTTTATTGATTATTTATTTTAATTATTTTTATTTTTGATTTTAAATTGTATTATAAATTTATTTTTTATAGATGCGAAAAAATTATAATGATTGGATGTCTGAATCTGTAAAAGAGTTAATACCTGCTGGTAGAATCAAAAGACTATCCTATGAAACTATTATAAATTAGGTTAATAGATCATAAAACGCAAATAATATTAGTTATATTCAATGATCTTTTAAATGCTGTAGTATTTCTAACAAATGTGATAGAATAAAAGATAGTTGGATTTTTGATTATGAACTTTTTAACCAAGTGAAATCAAATGTTGAAGTAGAGATTTTAGATCATGATAATAAAAATGATGAAGACAATAATATTAATGATAATTATTATGATAAAGAGAAGAAAAAAAATTATGATAATGAATGGAATTAGATAATCATATAAACTTAATCATAATGATAATCTTGTATAAAGTATAATAAATCTTGATTAATGTAATAGTATACAATACATTTTTTTTTAAAAATATTATAATCAGTCAAATTGATTGATATAGTTATGGTAAATTAGATCAATATGTCAATTAATTTTATTGGTTAATTGATTAGTATTCCAGTATTAATCAAAATTTTTACTTTTTATAATTGATTAATACTTGTTACTAGGGTTCCTCAAAATCGAATTGAATCAAATATTTAAGCAATTTGAATTTGATTTGATTTTTCAAATTGAATTAAATTGAACTCAAATATTTGATCGAATCAATTTGAATCGATTTGAATTTGATCGAATCAAATCAAATCAAATCAAATATAATTTTTTTTTAATTTTTACAATGATATATTAAAATAAAGTTATTCTAAAGCTTTAATTATGAAAATTATTAGTAATTGCACTAAAAAATTTCAAAGATAGCTTTTATAAGTAAGTTTAGTAACAAATGAATTTTTACTATTAAATTTAGTAAAATAACTCTGCAGTTTTAGTTTTACTAAGAAAACTTAGTAATAACCGCTATTGTGGCTTTGGTTTAATAAGAAAACTTAGTAATAACCGCATTGCGGCTTCAGTTTTATTAAGAAAACTTAGTAATAACTGCTATCGCAACTTCGATTTTACTACATAATAACCACTATCTTAGCTTTATAACAATTTTATTAGTAAAAAAACGTTTCTGAAGCTGCGGATGCATTTTTTTACTAGGTTTCTTAATATAATAACGTCTTCGAAGCTGTGAAGCAGTATGTAACATCTATGTGCACAATGTGCACATATGCACATTAATTTTTTATGTGCACATATTACACAACATAAATGTGCACAAATTATTACTAAAATAGATAAATTATGTATAAAAAAGGTAATTTTACATAAGAAAATGTTATGAGTTTCAGATTTTAGTAATAATTAATCAATTTGTGCACATAAATTTTAACTTAGATTTTATATACTGCTGTAAAAGCATTTTTTACTATGTTTTTCTTAGTAAAAAAGGCATTTCTGAAGCCGCAGAGACATTTTTTACTATGTTTTTCTTAGTAAAAAAGGCATTTCTGAAGCCGCAGAGGCACTTTTTACTATGGTTTTCTTAATAAGAATCAATCCTAAAGCTTTGGAGATGACTTTACTATTGATTCGAATCAAATCAAATATTTGAATACTTGATTTGAATTTGATCAAATCGAATCAAACATTGATTTAGATTTGATCAAATAAATATTTTTTGATTTGAATTTGATCAAATCAAATATTCAAATATCAAATCGAATTGCAGAACCCTAACCGGTATTATCACTAATATACTACTATTACCTAGGGTCTTAACCACCATTATTATAGGTAATATTAGATTTTATATACTATTGAAATGAACTTTTCATAGTCTAAATAAGGGTATAAATGGTTTTTTGAGCATTTTTTTATATTAAACATTTTTTTATTAATAATTTAAATCCTAGACCTTTCTTTTTCTCAAATAAAAAAAATTTTTATTATAGCTAATTCCATAATTTGTGAATTACTAATAAATTGTAACTGAATGTAACTGAAAAATTATTAATGATTCATAAATTATTAAATTAGTTATAAATTTATTTTTTATTTTAATTTCTATGTATTCTAAGATTAAATATGATATATTTTTTTTATGATTTTTTCTTTTTATATATTTTAACATAAATATAATATTTTTTTAGTTTATAATAAAATAAAGTAAATTTTTAAGTTTAATAAAAAAAAAAATTTATTATTTTAACAAATAACAAATAATGTATTTTTTTATATTATATTTGTTTTTAATTAAATTTCTGGTTTTATTTTTTTTAATTTAAAAATAGGAAGCTAACTATTTTTCTTTTTATTTACTTATTATTTATCAAATAAATTTTTAAATTTTTTAAAATTGTATTATACATTGTAATCTGAATGATCTTTAAGAAATGAAAATGTAGCACAATAAAGTGATCTACAAATAATTATCATGTGAATTGATCTGCAAGAATCAATGACATAATAATCTGCGAAAGTGATCTGTGAAATTAAACAAATCGGTTAATAAAGAAATAAAGTAATAGATCATTAGCCTATGACGATACACATAACCTTCTAAACTAAAAACTCCAAATAGGAACTTCAAGAAGAAACTAGTCAAAGGTTAAGTATAAAGATGTAGTAATAATTTAAGAACAATATAATTATATTCTCTATATCTCTTTATATATATATATATTATAATTAAAGGATTATTGCAAAGTGATTAAGTAGTCATTACTCAATTATTACAACAATATTACATAGAAAAATGAGA